AAACGCAACAGAACTGTATTTGCATTGTCTCTTGGAGTTTTTTGGGCTGAACCTGACATCAATCTTACCAGACTGAACCCAAGTTCCCAAGCCAGCCAGCCACAACACTGTGAATTCCTTAGGGTGGTGCCGGCCTCATCTTCTTGAACTTCCCACGCTCCTGCTGGGGGCTAAGAACATGCTTATCTCCCTGAGGCTGGCCTTCATAAGTCCATTCCATCACAGATGGGGAGTACAGAATCCTGGATGCAGGGCCCGGTGGAATAAAGGACATCTGGTGTCTGCGGAGTGGGAGGGGGGTCAAAGAGCCAGGATGACCAAAGCAGCGTTGCAGGGCCAACCCCGCCCCTTTTCTGCATGCCTCGAAGTTGCGGGCCGAGGGGTGGAGTTGGGGCTGAATCCTGCAGCCATCCTGATGCAAGTGGGAAGAGCTTGCAGACTCGGGTGAATGAAGTTCTTCGGGGCAGCGGCTGCTGTGGGTGAGGGGTCCCCTCTGCCTGGAGAGTCCCTGACAAGGGAGGGGTCAGCCCACCAACCTAATTGGGTTACGGGAAATCTCCCCAGCCGAGCTCAGTTCCTGGATCCAGCAGTCTTTTAAGCACTACGTGGTGGAAGATGCCAAGCAGCAATTCAACCAGTACGACAAAGATGGTGATGGGCGCGTCTCTTGGGAAGAGTACAATATTCAGATGTATGACCGCGTAATAGACTTTGAGGATGATACCACTTTGGAAGACGCGGAAGAAGAATCTTTCCGGCAGGTAAGATCCTGAAGAAACTCTAACCCTGAATATCTTAAGTTGTCGCCTGTTGTAATACTGGTTAGCTCTAGAGCCAAGGACGGGGCAAGGGGAGACAGATGTTAAGAGAGTTTGGCCCTTAATATTTCTGCTGATGAGACTTATCCCTCTTTCTGGAAAAGAATAAAAAATGAGTGGAAATCAACCCTCACTGGGAACCCCTTTTTTACTCTCCAGTCAGTCTCCCAGACGTGTTTTTCCCCCCAACATTGTTATTGACTGCATGATTTACTTGTAGTAAATCATAATGATACTTAAAGGTAGAGGGCTATACTCTCCTGCCTTTAATTTTTTAAAAATTATTTTTAGCCTATTTAGTTCTATTTATGAAACAGCGTCATGGTCTGAAAAGGTGGCATTGGTCAGCCTTCTGAAAGAGGTCTTTAACAGCGGACCGCAAATGTTACGAAAATATTGGGTTCCTAATAAGAGGTATCTTCCTATTTGCAAGATGTGGAGTAGCTCAGAAGTGGCACGCTTAGCGGCTGCCTCCTTGATAGGCTGGGTGGGCAAACCTTGGACCCACCAAGGTCGAAAGTCAAGAAACAAGTTGGTTCCAAGGATGCTTCAGATAGGCTGGCAAATCTGCTGTAACTTTGGCGTGCAATTCATGTGTTATTCACATCCCCGCTGTTTTAAAAGCTCCATTTAAAGGACAAGAAGAGGTTTCAAAAGGCTAATAAGGACGGCGCACCAGGCTTGGATCTGGATGAATTCATTGCATTTGAACATCCTGAGGAGGCAGATTACATGAAGGCAAGTTGTGGGGAGGGCACTGCTTTGAAAACTGGCTGCGAGAACGACGGCCTGTTAATAGTTCTTCAGTTCCTCGGAGAAGCGCAAAAGGGCAGTCCCACAAGACTGCTTTGGGATCAGCGTACGGATTTTTTGGGAGGTGAAAACTGCTTCATTGTACTGAAGAGGCATTACTGCTTACTGCTCCGCTATACATGAGTTCAGATTTTAAACACCAGGAAAATTCAAGGGATAAGTTGGTGGGCTACAAAGCTTTTAAGCAGGAAGCCAAGAACTGTATCAGTGAAAATGGGGTTTAATCACTTTTTGACCTAGACTTTGGTCAGTGGAGAATGGCTGTAGGCCAATCTCTTGAGAAAGAGGCCGATTTGCACAACCTATACCCATGCTTAACTAAACCCTAATTGGTGTGATACAATGATCTGCAAACTAAGTACACAACACACGACATGGGGCTGGTTAGTTTATGGTTCTGCGTCTCGTGAGCAGAGCTGATGGACGGGCCACTGTTACCTTCTGATTGTTTTTTCCTTCCCACCAGGAGTTTGTCATTCAGGAGGCTTTGGAAGAGCATGACAAAGATGGGGATGGGTTTGTGAGCATCAAAGAGTTCCTTGGCGACTATCGAAGAGATCCAAGTGAGTGGCAGGGCATTCCCTTTCTACCTGGGGTCTTCAAGGACCATGATTGGTTAAGAAACCTGAAAGTTCTCTTAAGAATGCCTGGAGGCCCCAGATGGAGAAAGCTGGGGTAGCAGGGAAGGGCAAGGGTGTCCAAAAAGTCAAAATATTTCAAAATACTGTTGTGGATTGGCTTATAATGCATTAACACTTCCTGTTAATAAGGCTTCTCAAGTTCTTGAGAAATCAGTCCAAATGTTGGGTCTCTGTGATGGAATGGACTTATGAAGGCCAGACTCGGGGAGATAAGCATTTCCTTAGCCCCCAACAGGAGTGTGGGAAGGTTAAGAAGATGAGACTGGCACCACCCTAAGGAATTCACGGTATTTCGGCTTGCTGGCTTGGGAAATTTGGATTCAGTCTGGAGAGATTCTGTCTTTGAGGTGGAAGCTAATATACGCAACAGAACTGTATCTGTACTGTCTCGTGGAGTTCTTTGGGCTGAACCTGACAGTCTCCCCTCTTAATATAACTTGATACTTTTGGCTTTTCCATTCTTAGGAAAGAAGACATCTGTGATTCAAATATAGTTTGAAACAAATATAGTTACAACAATTGGTTGTTTCTAATAGTGTGTACTTCTAAGATAAATGTTTCTAATAGTGGACTTTCTAAGATAAATATTGTAAGAAAGAGCCAGTTATGGACATCCATCATATTTGCAGTGCAGTTGTTTTGCTAATTCATGTATCATTTCCTTGCGATACTCATGCTTATGGAGAAAACATATTCCTTCAGTTCCATCATTTTAAATGACATTGATATAAGTACAGTTTGAAAGCACCATTTTAGAAACATTTCGTTGCCCATATGTGCTTCCAAGCCTACACTCTATGCAAAATGGTCATTTTAATGGATTTTGCTAAAATAAAAAAGGTAAGATGAGGATGCATGGAAAAATTGCAACATTTCTTTTTAGCTGCCAGGGAAGATCCAGAATGGATTGTTGTTGAGAAAGATCGATTTCGAAATGATTATGACAAGGACAAGGATGGACAACTTGATCCTAAAGAGCTGTTAACTTGGGTGGTGCCCAACAATGAGGGTATTGCTCAGGAAGAGGTAAGAGTTTTGAAGAATTTTACTCCCAAATTCCATTACATAGTTGTGTTTTTTTAGATGTTACCATGCAGAATTGTAAAGCCCACAACAGTTTTCAGATCTGAGCTTATTCCTGTTGCAATATTATCCATTTAAAGGACTGGAGTAATTTAAATGATAATTGAACATTCAAGACAAGATTTCTCATGTGAACCTGCCTCAGTAATGTATCTGTGTTTGGTGGGGTCTTTGGACATTACAGAAAGAGTTCAATCCAAAAACAGGATGTTGGAATAAAACTATTAAATGTCTTTGTGGAAAGAAGAGTGAACATTTTTTCTCTCTTAATAAAAACTTAGTTCATGATCTTAAATGCTCATGTAGAAATGGTCATGATCTCTTAGACTCAGGTGGACAATGTTCGTGCAGTGGTCTCCATGGAACATCAATTGATAGAGAGTTGCTTTATGTATCTTGTATTCAGTGTGGTATCCTTCCATATAAATGGATATAGACTTTGAGCATATATAAGGATACCACGACTGTGATGGGTTGAGGAAATAAAGATCAGGCAGATGAATGGGTGAAGCACGAAAGCATGTGCAGATGAAATGATTGGTTGCGTTTGCAGAAGGTTGATAACTCTTGATGAAGTTATTGCACTTTCACCCAGCATGTGGTAGTATAAACTGATGGTTTAATGGTTTAACACCCAACCTATGAGTATTATTTAGTTTAGTCACTAAACTACAGTTAGCAATCTGTGGCTGAGTTCCATATCCAACCCAATCAGTGCTTGTGAATTTATTTTGTAGGCTGTTCATCTTCTTGACGAGATGGACCTGGATGGGGACAGGAAACTTACAGAAAATGAGATTCTTGAAAATCAAGATCTGTTTCTCAATAGCGAAGCCACCGATTATGGCCGACAGCTCCATGACAAAAGCTTCTACCATGAAGAACTTTAATTTCCAAGAGATGCTTTGTCTTTGTTTCAGAATTGGTTTCCCCCCCCCCCCATTGTTCAGCTTTAAAAACAATACCAGTTGGGTAGCGACTTTACGTTGCTGAGGTTCTCTGTATGTTGCCAGTATAACTTCGGCACTGGAAACCATCCCCTTTTTTTAAAAAAAAGGAAAAGAGTGGAGACCTTCAGTGTTCGTATTTTAATACTACTTTTTGAAACATACTTGAAAATGCTAGGATTTGACTGTAATGTGTCACTAGTTTCTGTTAGATTTTTGAGAAAGGGAAAAGCAAGCGTAACTGTCTGGTTCCATGTTGCTAATAGTTTTTCTATCCTATTTTCTATACTACATTCAGGAGGATGAAATGGTGCATACTAGGTTTTTGTGCATATTAACTTCTGTAGAGGGTGTTTAGATGATAGATGATGTGGAAATATTTTTGCATCTGGAAAATAATTCTATCCACTTGGATTAAAATGTTCAAATGCCCTATGTTTTTTCTTCGTGCCATTTCTTTGTATGAATCTCTTAAAACTACATTTATATCTAACTTAGCTTCTTATAAAGAAGCATACTTCAGATCAGTATATGTAAGGGGAAAAAAAAAAAACGACTTTATCAAACAAGCAGCAGATTGTGCTGTAGATACAGGTAGTCCTTGGTTACTGACTGCCTTGTACAGGGACCGTTTGAAGTTATGACAGTGTAAAAAAACCAGTTTTGCAACCAATCCTCACATTTACAACCATCGCAGCATCCTGCAGTCACATGATCGCCATTTGCATGTTTCCCAAATGCCTTACGACAAGCAGAGCAGAGTTAATGGAGAACGAGGAAGTAAAATTGTAAGTCATGGTCACATGATGTCTCGGCAACCACAGTGCTTTGCTTAATGACCAAAGGGGAAGTGAGGTCATAAACCCATTGCAGTCACGTGATTTTCCATTTAGCACCCATGGTTCCTAGTGACCAAGTTGCCATTCCTACTTGTGGTTGCTAAGTGAGGACTATTTGTAGTATATTTGTGGTATATTATTTCAAATGTATGTTGGTTTCAGAAGTGGCAGAATATACTGCAGAAATCCTAAGGCCTACTCAAACCCTTTTCGCTACCTGTTTGAAGATAGGCAGGGGACCTCTCTTGGAAGCCATCTTGGATTCTGGAACTGTTCTAGGATCCCTTTGCTCAGGTGATGGCAGTTCCAGCCTTGCAGGGAGCAAACCTGGCAGCCCTTGGAGGTAGGCCAGGTCAGGAAACAGATTCCACTAGACATGGATGGAACTCTAACAAAATTCTGAAAGCTGGACAGAGTATTCCTCCCTCCCTCTGCCCGTCCTGTTTCCTTCCTTCCTTCCTTCCTTCCTCCCTCCCTCCCTCCCTGTAGATGCCTTCCCTCCGTTATATACTAAAGAGGATCAAGATGAGTCACTTTCAGTTTCTTTCTAATGCTCTTCCCTTTCCTGGGCTTAATTCATGTTTTGTTAAATGACATCCAATTCCTCCTGCAAGGTGGTTCTCTACGAAACCTGGCTCTTGTGAGCACTCTGTCAGGCACCGCGCAACCTCTGGTCAAGGCAGGGTGAGTGTCCCTGCAGAGTTTGGTTGACTTGCTGAGTGCAGAACTGATGACCGCTCTTCTGCAACTAGCCCCCGCCCCCGTCCTGAAATCTCTAGGTTAGGAATGCAGGGCTCAGAGGTCATTTCATGTGGGGAGAGAGTCCAGAAAATTGAAAAGAAGATGGGAAGCTCGGTGCTGATCCAGTGCAGCGGGGAGGAAAAGCAACAGAATCAGATGTTCAACGGCAGCTGGTGATGCTGGTTTGCAGCCAGCCTGTTACTTGTGAGGAGCACGTTAAAGCTGCACGGGGAGATTCCACAAGGGAAGCCTCAGCAGAAATACCAGTGAAGTAGCCGAAGGAATAACATGGTAGAACGCTTGCTAAGAGGATCCCAAGGGCCTGGTTGGGGTTGTTTACTGTGGCATGGATGTCCCATTGTTCCTCTGAGAGCTCAAGATGCCCACCTGGGGTTTGCGGGGGTCTCACTTTACCACCCCAATGGCCAGTGAGCTGGGCTGGGTGAAGAGCGAGTGACTGGCCCAAAGTCAGCCAAGCGGGTTGGGCATTGACTGGAGACCTCTCTGTTTTACCCTGGACAGTGACAAGCAAAAGGAGGCCGTGACAAAGATGGCGGCGTCAACGTTTTTTGTCTGTTCTCTGGTCATTTCTATTGGATTGTTACAAAATGGATTTGCACGATGAGGTCTGGGGGATTTGTTTCCAAAATAGAAAATGAGATATACATGTAAAAGGAAGGAATTCAAGTGGCTTTATTAGCTGAAGTGGATAAGAGGTGGCTATCTCTGGTAACCCTTGATGGACTTTTGCTAATGAAGATGAGGGAGGAGGTTTTAAAGACTGGTTTATAGATAATGAAAGTGAGATATGGGAGATGAAGAGATGGTTATATTTTAAGAGATGATGATAAGTCGTCAAATTTGTTTATACTTGCTGGAACGGAGGGGGAAGTGACTTCGTTCTTCTCTTTTTTCTTCTTTTCTCTGCACTTTTGATTTTTATCTTTCCAGCTTTTATAGTTTGTATTAGCTTTATCTGTAATTTGCAATACAATTATTATTTAAAAAACATTTTTCATCTGTGGGTCAACACGCCCTTCTCCTTCCATTTGCATACAGCTGTAATGGGAGAAAAAACCAGCCCGGGGTTCCTCATTCCAGGGGCTGCTGGCAGAAAGGCTGCCAGGCTGCCTCTTGGTTCAGGGCTGAATAGATTCATTGATTTCCTTGGAATGTCCCCAAGGAAGTGGATTTGCATGGCCCGAGGGCCAGCTGAACAACCCCTTCTCTCTCTAAGGACACCCTGCCTTTATTCTCCTGGCAGGTGCAATTGAAAGTTCCCTTTTTTCTTTCAAGAGAGTTTCACGTTTAAGCCGCAATGCTCCCTTGGCTTTTCCCCCTTAGGGAATGGAAGAGCCTGGGCTGCAGAGAAGTGGGAAAAACATCCTGCATGAAGCCTCTGGAGCCGTGTTTCTCAACCTTGACCACTCGAAGAGGGGTGGACTTCAACTCCCAGAATTCCCCAGCCAGCAGGGGAATTCTGGGAGTTGAAGTCCACCCCTCTTCGAGCGGCCAAGGTTGAGAAATGCTGTCTTGGGAGATGAAACAGTTCTAAAAGGAAGTAATTCCATTGCTGAAATTCTTGTAACCCTATCCCTTTCACTTCACGAAACCTTGTTAAGAAGTCTTGTGTGTTCCACATCATCCTCTAAAAAGGATTATTTTTGGCTTGAGTCTACAGCCTGAGGGCTTGAAAATATTGTTGGATGGAGACCGCAATGGAGGCGCTTCTGTTTCCTGGCACAGTGAGAATCACCTTGAGTCACTAGATAGAGAAAGGCTTTTACGTTTGCAAGCAGCTAAGTCTGTGCCCCCCCCCGTTACTTCCTGTCGCGGAGAAAATTAAATTAAACCCTTTTACTTTCACACTTCATTCTTCCAGCCAAACAATCTTCTTCCTCTTCTGTGACCCAGAAGAGAGGATAACAAACGATTTGGGATCCACGGGCCAGCAGCAGGGCGCATCGTCCCCACTCCCCAGTTCCTTCTTCGACAAAATCGGGGGAACACGGTCCATTCCTATTCTGGGGACAGGGGAGGGGAGCTCCCCCTCTTCGTTCCTATTCGCCCTCGTCGCAAAGGGATGCAGCTCGCCCGGCACGCTGAAAACCACACACTCAGCCCAACTGAGGTGTGAGGTGTGTGTTTCCTTTCCTTTGATGGGGGAGTGGAAAATTCTTGGTCCTGCACCAATTGATGAGCTACTGATGCTGTCGCTCTGCTCCCCTTTCCTGCATGCACGAATGCAGCCCTGTGCAAAAGATTTCCAACACACCCACACCCACACCCACACCCACACACCTGTCATGCCCCAAGAAAACACTGCCTCTGTGGTCCACAGGCACGTGTAACCTTCAAGGAGTCCCCCCCTTGACTTCTTTCATCTGCTGCTCCAACAGCCCTCTTGCTTTCTGGCGTGTAGCTCGCCTCGTCGTTCGAAGGAAGTGTCTCATTTGTACCCAGATGATGGCGACAATGTTTGCGCTTCCACTTTTTGAAAGGCGCCCTTTGGCAGAAGCAAAATGAGCTTGACATCAGCCCCAAGGAGGTGGGGCTAGAGGAAAGGAGAGCTTTGAGGTTTGGGGTGTGCTTTTTTGCTTTCAGTAACAAGTTGCGCCGCTGAGCTTCCTTAATCCAGCCAACGCTGTTCTGCAAGTTGTAAAGAAGGGTTTCTCTCGGTGCTCTGGAGCGCGCAGAGCACTGACCCGAGCGAGGTGCCTCTTTCACAAAGCTTTGCACTACTGATCCAACCTGCCAGAATGACGCACCTCCAATTTAAAGATGCCTTCTGGGTAAGTGCCAAATGATTGCATTCCAACC